TTCTAGTTTATTAGGAAGTTTTGTGATTTTTTTGTTTGGGGGTGTTTTTAGTCATGAATGGATGTTGAATTTTAACAAATGGTGTTTTGTCCACCAGTTGTGGGACGGTCCCTTTCTTTCCACTTTAATCTGTCAATGTGGGGAATTGCATTAATATTGCTCGTGTTGAAGCCGTTTTACATTCCTTGGGTAAACGCAACGTGGTCGTGCCATGTGTATGAACGTGTTACTGGGTGTGGTTTGCTAATCCTTTGTTTTGGATTTTGCGTGGTTGTCGGAATGAGCTTCGTCTACAGCAGCGGCTCTCACCTTCCTAATGCCGCGACCCCTTCATACAGTTCCTCATGTTGTGGTGACCCCCCCAACCATAAAATTAGTTTCGTTGCTACTCTATAACTGTAATTTTGCTACTGTTATGAATCGTAATGTAAATATCTTTTTGTTTTCAGATGGTCTTAGGCGACCCCTGTGAAAGGGTCGTTCAACCCCCAAAGGGGTCGCAACCCACAGGTTGAGAACCACTGGTCTACAGTGTTCTATCCTGTACCGGCCTTGCCCAGTTCCGCCCGGGCTGAACTGTCACCCTCACGGAGCCCGTCGAGGGCAGGCCCCCACTCTGAATGGGTCCTTGGGGACAGACAGCTCCTGCAGGAGCCCCCTGGTCTCGCGGGGTCTCTGTAACCTCTGATTACCACCTTTCCTGGCTGTCAGACATACAGATTTCTGTTTCTTCTGGAGGCAGTTTTAGGGGTAAAAATTTTCCTGGGAATTTGTCCATTTCATTTGCTTTCAGATTTATTGGCCAAAAAAAGTCCTAATATTCTCTTACGTTGGCAGAAGCTGGATTTGTGACCTTGTCTTTTCAGCCTGAGACCTTTTTCCAGCGCGGCTCTTATAATAACACAGGGCAGGATTCTTGTCAGACTTGACGCTGACACTCATTCTCTTTTACATAGTAAGTCCATGCATCTCAACTGATGTCTTTGAGTTTATTTCCACATCTTTGTTTTCTTTTTCTCCCTTTTAGCTTTCTTCTGAAGTTTTTCTCATTCTATTATTTCCCTCTCCTAATTAGTAAGTTACACAGTCCATTCTTTCAAGGGAGTACATGCTTAGTTAACGAACTGAAAGTCTAAATATAATAATCCCATCTTTGCCGCCTTGATGGCCAAAGGCCTGAGAACGCTGTAACTGCCTCTGTCCTGGCCCTGTCGCCTGCTTTCGCTGCCCCCGTGTTTTGGCCCTATTTTGTTTTGTTTCATAATTAATAGACTGTTTTTAGAACAGTTTTAGATTTACAGAAAACTCAGCAGAGAGTAGAGGGGATTCCCTTATCTCTCCCCTGTACAGTTTCCCCGTCATGAACATCTCGTGATACATTTGTTATAACTGATGAGCCAACACTGATACTTTATTATGAACTGAAGTCCTTAGTTTACACTGCGGTTCACTTGGGGTGTTGTACTTTCTGTGAGTTTGGACATTGTGGTATCGTACAGGAGTAGTGTCACTGCCCTAAAAACGCTCTGTTCTCCCCCTGATTCATCCCTCCCCCTCACCCAACCCCTGGCAACCACTGATCCATTTACTGTCACCATAGTTGTGCCTTTTCCAGAATGGCATGTGGTGGCAGTCACCTGGGATGTAGCCTTTTCAGGTTGGCTTCTTCGTAATCTGCATGGAAGTTCCTCGTGGCTTTTTGTGGCTTCAGAGCTCATTTCTTGTCATTGCTGAATGATACTCCACTGTCTGGATGGACCACAGTTTATCCATAACCTGTCCAGGGTCGGCTGGAGGACAGACTGGCCGGTGACCCTTGCCAGCAGCCCGGGGCACTTGGTACCATGCCCGCCCCCCCACACACACACTTAGGCCCCACGGCCCTGTGGTCTCAAGCCGGTAGGAGGAAGTTTCAGGTAGAGTGTCCTTGCAAGCGTCCACCATTATGGGCACCATCACATGCTGGACCTTCCTCTTCCATCTGCGGATGCCCAGCCAGTGGCTCTTGCCTTCCCCTCGATGGAAAACACAGCTCTGGTTCCCAAGGCAGCTCAGAGAGCCCCGACTGGCAACACACCCTCGGGAGGAATGCGGTCTGCTCTGACTTTATGGTCATCACAGTGACCGAGACCTGCTCCTGGGGCTGCAGGGCATTAATGAATCGCTGCTTCAGTTGCTTTTACAAGCCTGGAACCAGTGGGACCCTCTCAGGACTGTAAACTTAACGGGGCCGGCAGGGACCCTCCGGGCTTTCCTCGGGCTGCACTGACTAGCTTTCTGTTCAAGTAATCCGAAGCTGGCTTTGACAAGAACTAATGAAAAGCAAGTTGTCATAATACCTGAAAACTAATTGAAGGAGGTTTGGGTTACTAGTGCAGGTGGAAGATCCGGTCTGGGAAGATGTTACATTGTCCATCGAACCAGCAGCCTCAAAATGCCCGTTTATTCACAGTGCACTTGGCTCAAGTCCCATAATACATCAGGACAAGGACCAGCTAACTGGACCTGGGCTGGCAGTGGGTCTGAATCCCAGCCCAAGGCATCTGCGACCTGAGTGGGGGTGCTGCACAGATGTGGGAGCACAGAGCTCAGGCGTAGACAGCTCCCAGCAGCCTCAGGCCACACAGCTGAGTCTCGACCCAGTTCTTGGGTCTGCTGCATATGTGGACAGTGGATGGTGGTGGCACAGAAACACTGGGCAGGGGAGGGCCAGAGCTGGGCATCTAGGAGCCTGGCTGCCAGCCTGCGGCTCTGGACATTATCCCAGAAGGCTGGCCCACTTGCCTGCCTTCCATTCCCTGAAGGCCATGAGAGACTCTGGGCCTGGCGTGTCCCCGGCATCATCCTCTGCAACCCCCCGCTGTGCCCAGGACAAGGCAGGAGAACCCCAGGGCTGTGGCTCTTTTCTAAGGCTTGGTCTGTTGTCCCTTCAGGGGCCTGGCCTCAGAGCAGAAAGGAAGCGGGCCAGCTGGCCCAGCTGCCATGTGAGCGGCCCCCTGGCAGGCAGTGTGGGGTCTCAGGTGTGGGGGCCGCAGGGTACGGTCTCATGACAGGTGTTCAGCTCTCCGTGGGGGTGCAGCACTGGGCTTGATGTGGTGGTCACTTTGGGGGAGCAGCCGTGTTAGGTCCCCCGCCCCGTGGGTCATGCACCCGTCTCTGCGCCCGCAACCCTGAGAGGCGTCTCTGGTTCTGTTTGTTTCCGTGCCTTCCCTCGGGGTGGGGGGGCTGAGGATGTGAGCATCTCACCTCCTCCCACACTCAGTTCACACAGCTGTTCCAGAGGGTCCTCCAAGGCCATGGGCCCATTGTCCACTTAGAGAGCCTCGCCGCCCCAGGCTCAGAGCCCCGCTCTACCGCCAGGCCGCAAGCCTGAGAGAGACGCTGGAAGGGGCCGTTGTCCGCTTCCGCTGTGGAGCTGGGCAGACACCCTGTCCGAATCCAAGCGTGGGACAGACTCATCTTGGATCCCAGACCAAATTCTCCTTCTCTACCTCCCACCACGTCCTGCTCTTTCTAATCTCTGTGACCTTGGGGACATCTCACTGTGGGGCCATCACCATGGCTTCAGGCGCAGAGAGCTGCCTCCACAGGCCCTGAGTGCCCCGCCTGGATTGGGGTCAGGGATACCTGCTCTGGGGTTCCTGGCTGCAGTCTTCTTCAAGCATGTGTCCTCTGTGAGGCCTGCACGCTGAAAGCCCAGCAGGGAGCTCCAGAAACCCGCCCCTTCCCCTCAGGGTTAGGTTGCATCATCCTGGAACATCTGCTGCAGCCTCTCCTGGGCCCGAGACTCCCGCGCTCACCGCTTATCTTCCTGCCGTTGCCTGGCTCTGACGCCCCAGCACAGCTCGCTGGGCCACCGTCCAGTCAGGTCTCCTGCAGGCTGCACGGTGCACGGCGGGCACGGGTATGGATGGCTCCATGGCCGGTGTAAATACAGATGGATGGTGTGATTCACGCATTCCCCTCAGAGGACACACTGCAGCGTTGCTAAGAAAGATCAGACCCCCTCAGCAACAGTACCATGCACGTCACGCCACACTCCTTTTTTCTTACTAAAAACATGACCATCCAGGTGGGTGGGGCAGGCAAAGGGCGGTGGGCTGGGTAGGGACACACAGCCAGGGTGTGCCTGACAAAGCTCTGAGGGCCGAGTGACGTCCCCACGAGGTGGCTTTCCTGAATTCTTAGGGCTTCTGCTGCCTTATTAGAAACAGGGATTTATCCTCCAAACTGTACCCTGTTGAACCCTAGTTCTCTGGGTCAGAGCCACCCAGCTGGGCTCACATTAGAATGACTGGGGGGGGGGGGTCTTTGGGAATATGCTTGTACCAGGGCCCCCACCCCTAGACCCCCTAGGCGGGAACCGAGGGAGGGCCAGGCATTGCTCAGAGGTCATTTAGGGCCACACAGCCTTTTGAACTACGCTCCCGAGTTCCCGAGAATCCTGTCGCACAAGCATGTTCTAGACCATGGGCATGTGGACCAGGCATCGAGGGGCTGGCTCTCCTGCAGTTGTACAGAGAATGACCCCCTCTGGGGCCAACCCCATGCGGCCCCCACACCCACGTCTGCAGCTGAAGCTACAGGCCACCAGGCAGAGGGCTGAGGCCAGGCCAACATGACTTCCTCAGGAAGCAGGATTGG